TTGGGCGGCGGGTACGAGCCAAGTGTCCCCGCAGAGAGCCGCCGTGGCCCCCCTGGCGGCCGATGGAAGGCGGGAGGCAGTCGGGAGGCAGTCGGACTGGAGTCGCACGAAATCCGGCGCATTGCATTGGAGCCTGAGCGATTCCGAGATCAGTTGCAGCCCCTGCTTACAGTGCCGCTGTATCTATCCCGTCGGACTGCCCTTGACCATCCGTCAACTCGTGGTCCTCCTTCCATCTGCTCCCCACAGTTCACATCCACCGCACCCCCTCTCCTCCACGCCTCCACCTCATCTTACGTATCTTTCACCCTCGCCTACTTGCATTCCTCATTGCCCCTTTCTCTCCTCTCCTCCACACCGCCTCGCCCTCCCATATGACACCCACATAACACCCCCGCCGCAAGCACCACTAGGACATTGCATATTGTACGCTACCCTTCCACTCCGGCCCCTTTTTTGTAGTGACGGTATTGACTAATGCCGCCACAAACGTCGTCACATTACACGTAACCCTAATACTAATACTAATCCCTACAGCCGCAGACGCGCCTTCCCCTGCCCCACCCAACCTCCACACGTCCTCCCGAACACCAGCACGGCGCTTGAAATGAATCCGGCATACCCGACGGTCTTCCACATCGCTTCTGCCACTACCGCACCCAAAAGCGCCGCTAAAGGGAGCACGTCTCGCGTAACATCAGGTGCTCCATCACTTCACGATCCGAGGAAAGACGCAACATACATCGCAGGCGCAGTGCGTGCCTAGACAGTGCCGTACAATACCTTCACAGCCGTGTGTCTACAAAATACAGTAAAGCACAGTTCGCACCCTCGCGCTTTGAACAAGTTTAGGGCACGCATGTACCTCTACTGTACGGACAACATCCGACAGCCATTGATTGTGTGCAAGTCGAGACCTCAAATAAGGCCATGGTTCCAAGGCTGAATACTACAGTATATTTTAGAAATTTTGAGTGTACTTTACGAACAGTAGGGCAAACCTTCAATGTGATCTTGTCAGGAAACCACTCTTTCAGGACGTCGGCAGTTGCGGCATCCAGCTGCCCATTCCAAACTTCTCTTTTCTCTTTTGTGCCCCATTGTTTCAATACAAGAGCGTGGGCGGCAGACCTGTCGCGAAGGTATCGTGCGTGCAGAGGTACTTTAGTATCGTGATGGTTACTCTCCACGATGGAATCTCTGCAAATAACCTGGCGAGCAGCTCAATCGCTTGCTAGGCCCCAGCTTGCTCAACCTCTTCTGCGCCCTCACTATTTGCGACCTATTGTTCACAAGTCGCAGTGACATTAGTACGCACGTACGTACTTCGTCTCAAATCATGCCGCTTCCATCTGCGTCATTCGCCACCACTCTTACCTCGCCTTCTCGCACTCCCTGCTCGGAGACAGTATTGTCTTCTTGTTCTCGTTCAATCGCCGCCGTTCCATCATCCATTGCGTCTTCGTTTTCTGCACTTGCAGTGTCATGACATCCCGGCACTTTATCGCCCTGAGGCATGATAGCTTCGGCTTTTCTCTTTAGCCACCTTTCCAGTCTTGGAATCAACAGTGTTCCCGGTTTCCTCCATCTCATCCTACGTATCCCCAGCCCCATTTCATTGCGTCTTTTTCTTCTCTCTTGCATCCCGCCCTGCCCGCTCGACTGCCCGCTCCGCCATCCCATATGATCCGCATGCCGCCAACAATAGCAGCCAGTACGACGAACACGCCACCCCCTTCCACTCCACTCCCCCTTCTGCAATTAAAGACTTGATCAGCCCCTCTACATAAGTGATCACAATGTCAAACATGAGCAAGAAACAGCAAATACTCCCTAACATCCCCAGCTTCTCGTTCCCTTGTCCCAGCCTGCTGCCATACGTTCTCTCCATCGCCAGAGCGATGCTCGCTGCAAACCCGGCGCACCCAATTGCCTTCCAAATCGTTCCTCCCATTTGCAGACCGAACGAAGCCATCAGCGGGTGCGACTTCTCGCGAACCAGCAGCTGCTCCATCACTTCTGGGTCGGAAAACACCCGTAAATCAGACGATAGGATCACAAGGTGCGCAAACAGCGCGCATGCCGTCATCACGGCGTAGAACAGCGACCCGCTCTTCCCCTTGTTGCTTACTAGAAACAGCGCAAACGGTACCACAGCAACTGCTCCCGTGTGTCGGCACGCCGTACGCGCCCACCCGGTGTACTCGAGGGGGTCTAGATTGATCCCCGATTGAAGGGCAGAGAGCATCACCATCACCAGATAGAAGAATACCAACCCAAACACAGTCCATCCGCTCGCTAGGCACATCCTTCGCCCTATCGTCATTCCATTGCGCATCGTAGATTCTTCGATCCTTTCAGATCCCCCTGATCCTGTCGATCTCAATTCTGTCGTCTCGCTCTGCTGCGTCGACATGCGACTCGGAGCTGCGCACTTAGCGTCGTCTTGTACTACCTTTTTCCAAAACGAGGGCAACTTTCTTTTTCCGCATCAGAAATATTGGACAACGCCTGAAAACATGAACAACCAATTGTGTCTGCTCGAATAGACATTTTTTTCGCAACACGTGGAATCTGTGCGTACAAAAAAACGAAATTTTATCAATACTGTAGTGACGACCAGTGCGAGGGGAAAAGCGTGCATGCCCAAATCGCAACGCCTGTAGAACCTCTTGTGGACAGCTCGCACAGGTGTCAGCGCTGTCGAGGTGTCCAGAGGCACAGAGCACATGCAATTCACCATGGATGAATTGTTCATACTAGTGCCTATTTGACATTTTTTCCTCATTTGAGGATCGCACATCCTCAAATGAGGATGAACACGAAAGAGTTCCCAGCTTCCCTTAAACACAGATGCAGTCCACCTTAAGACCATCAATGCCCCTCGCACTCCACACTAAAGAAGGAACTCACAACTTTGAAGTGCTTGATGTACTCTGTTTTGCTGGTCGATGATTCCAGCAACTTCGAAACGCTCAAAGACAGGTCGAGACATCTCAATATTGAGTTCGATTGGACACGCTCCATCCTCAAATTGGCCTCAGCGCGTGCTGGTCTGCGAAAACGATTCCTGTATATTTCCGGCCGTTGTGACGAAGGTTCTGCGATTACGGTCATGCCATGAAATACAGCCGATTTGATTGTCCTGCACATTAGGCGGAGAGAGCAGCTATTGCCGTTCTTCTCGAACGGCGTGGTTTTGCGGATAAAGATTGTCACATTTCGAAATAAAATATGCAGACCTCGAGTTTACTCCAACAATGACATTGCACAACTATTTCACTGTAAGATCGACATGCTGTCACCAAACTGGCGGCTGGCATAGATACAGAATCAATGCGAAGTTGATCTCTGTGATCGGAAGACATCACGTCTTCGCTGAAACACGTAGCGTTCGCCAGAAAAAACCGAAACACCTACTGTTTCGGCAACTCCGGGCAAACCTTTACCCAAAATGCCCCCGCCCTTACTTAAATATTCACTACACCTCATCTGGGCTTGCTAAAATCCCACCGAACCACACAAATTCACAAAACACAACACCGACACCCCACCACCCATCAAGAATGCCGCAAAATACCTCCATTCCCGACCCCGCAGCTGTCCTTGACATTCTTGTAGAGCATGCCGCGCGTCGCCAAGAAGATCTGGAGAAGTATGATGACGCTCCAGCCCTTTCTGAAACCGACGAAGTTTCAGAGAGCGATTGTCCAGTTCTGCAAACTTTCTTCGAAGAAAATGGAACTCAGGCAATCATGGATATGACCAATTTTACTTTCAACGAGTTTACAGGAATTTGAAACCACCTCTCGGAGCACGTCCTGCAGCACTACAACACAGGAAGAAACAGTAAATCTCCGATAAAAGCGAAGGATCTCGTTTCTATGACATTCGCAGTTCTGAAGCACGGTGCCAAGTGGGACATGATGGCCTATTTATTTGGAATGAAAGCACCAACATTTGAGAAAAGAATTAACAAGATGATTCGCATTATTTCCGAATACGCGTATCAAAAGTTTGTTCTTCATTATTAACAACGCTACACAATGTCCAAGCTCATAACCAAGAAGAAAACATTTCGGAAATTTCAGATGTGTCGTTATGCCAGTGATGTGACGTTTCAGCAAAGTTTCCGTCCCGGTGGCTCACTTGAAGAGTCAAAGAAATTCTTCTCTGGAACGCACAAACTTTACGGCTTTAAGGTCGAAGTTTCCGTATTACTAAATGGAATTGCCATCAATTCAAGCAACCACTACCCTGGCTCCGTCTCGGACATAGAAATAATGCGAAAAATATTGGGTTTCATGTTGACGCGCTTGAAAATCAAGCGAGGAGACGGCCATCGTAGACATATGCAACGGGGCGGACGAGCACGAACATAGTTGGGCGGTGCTTCTCGATAAGGGATAAACAGGCATTGACGGAGAAATACGTGCGATACTGCCAAAAAAGAGGCCACGAGGCCGCATTTTGAGCGCGTCTGACAAGCGCCAAAATGAGAATCAAGCATCCGACCGCGTCGTGGTCAAAAAGGTTTTTGGGAGGCAGAGCACTCTTTGGTGTGTTGTGGTGCATAAATACAGGTGGTCTGAGTGTTCTTATGATATTATTTTTCGACTGACGCCTGCTTTGACAAACTTACGTATCCGGTGGCATCCAATTCGTGACGCAGACGGGAAAACGTACGACAGGTACGTTAAACGTTTGCGGAAACTGCTGTTAGGAAACGCAAAAGAGCTCAAGCTTCCTATCGCAAGCGCAGAAGGCGTGTTATAGAGCGTTGTGTGCGGGGACGCGATGAAGAGGAGAATGCTGGTCATTTGTTGGATGATGAAGACAAGGAGGAGGAGAGCGCCTGATCAACTGTAATCAAGACTCTCTCGCCCGGCCATAGACGCCCTCTCCCCCCCCCGCTGAAACGCGTATCGGCCCCAGCAAGCCAGTTCCATTCTTGCCTGCTATTATTGCAGCCACCCTGCTTCCCGCCCTTGTCAAACCCCCCCGATATCCCCGAAAGGGCCCCGGCGGCCGCGACGCAGAAACTACAGCCATTTACGTCTGAAATTATGGACGGTACCAAGCACCCGCGCGCGCGTGTTATCGCAGAATCTGTACGCCGCCCGTACCTCTGCTTTTCAGCCCGTTTCGGCCGCACTGTGTATCATAATCAGGCGGCAAGCGCCGCTCGCAGCAGGATAGGTGGCAGCATGGCATGGCATAACCTTCCGCGGGAGCCGCGCCGCCAATATATGGTATTGCGAGAAGAGTAACGATAGCAACCGATAACATCGCCTCTGGTAAATGGGATACACATTTAAACCGTGCGCCTATGTGTTTCTAAGAATGATGAGCCGGGCCTACGGCAAAGAAAAGCCTAGGCCCTGCTGTCCTCCGTGCTTTACGATGCCCTGTACGCACTGCACTGCACAGGGTCCCTTTCTGGACCGCCTCTCGCTACTGCTCCCATGTCTCACGGCCGTGAGCCGGGGCCGGGCGTGCGATTACAGACCAGCTTGAATTCCATGCGCAGCGCCGGTCTTGCGCCCGAGGAAAGTGACGGTTGTGGTGGAAGCGGGCGGCTAGCGGGAAGGGGAAGCGAGCTTAGGTGTGCAGACTTGCAGTGGGACCGGAGTTGGGTTTGTTCGGTACTGCTCTGTTGGGCAAGAGTCTCGAAAGGAAAATCTGCGGACTCTGCATTTGCGGACCAGGGAAAGGGACCGGTTTACAATCGAGGTCTTGAAGGGCATTGTGCTAAGGGCAGTGTACATACAGCAAATCTACAGTGTAGTGTCTGAGCGGTTATTGAGGTACATACGAATTTGCCAGGCTTTTGTAACTCAGAGCTCAATTACCATCATACAGTGTAAACTGGAATGAGACCGAGTCTCTGACTAAAAACCCACTTTCTTCCTCAAAACAACTCCAACCCATCAAATGTCAATGAACTGAATCGCATGCCTATAGACCGTTAAGTTTGTCATGAGAGAGATTTAATCTCCTCTATCATACATTGGTTGACAATTCAAGTAACCAATCGTAAGAGCATCTCTACTGCGAGTCTAAAATGAAATCTAATGGAATTTTTTCATTCCGAAACCTCAAACGTCACTCTACCTCTATTCTATCGAATAGATTGCCACAAATCAAGCGACTATTGGTCAAGTGATGAGAAATCACGTGCCAAAAAGGGGAAACACCCCTCATTCCCATACCGCGCAACAGTCGCAAACCGAAACCGAATTGTTCTCCTTATTCTCACCTTATCGCATAGACCGCAACATCTGACCCATCAACTTTGCGACCGTCGAACGTTTTGCAACAGCATGGGTCGCGGCAAAAGCTGGGATGTGCGTGAAAATGAAGTGCTTGCCAGAGCATGGATAGCAGCTTCTGAGGACCCCATCGCGGGGACAGATCAGACTGCGAAGCAATTTATTCAGACGGTTCGACTCCGATTCATAGAATAGGGCCCCGACTCTACCGAAGTGACCAACGGGAGATATGGGTTCAGGTCTTCCTTGAGCATCAATCAGCACTTCCCGGACCTTTCAGCCGATGTACAGAAGTTCTGTTTATCTTTTGCCAAGGTTCGTGCATCCAACCCGACTGGGGTTGGAGATTACGGCGTCAGGTCAATGGCTGTGGCTGTGCATATGGGCGAAACTACGTCTATGGACTACTCGTACAAAGAATTTGATAAGGAAAGCTGGCTTTCTTACAGGGCTTACAATGTGCTCAAGCATCATCCCAAGTGGGGTGCAGTACCAGACGTACAACTGGATGACACATCTCCTATGGTATCATCAGCCACAGATGACATCCATTCAGACGTTTTGGACACGCCTTCGTCGGAGCATGAGACCCAGGAGAAACTGCGGCGCAGAACAGACAGATTTATGGGAGGCTCTCGAGCCTCAAAGATTGCTCGTCAAGAAGAGCTCCGGACGCAGGCGGTACGGTTGATGGCTGAATCCATGAAGCGCAAATCTGATATGATGGAGGAGAGAAATGCCATCGAGATTTTTTCACGACCGGAAGCAATGGGCCTGTCTGAAACGGTTCAATTTTTTGCAGCAGTAAGAGCAACACATCTAGCTGCGGCCATCAAAAAATCCAGAGTTGCCTCGGCAGAAGCCGCAGATGCGGCTGCAGACAGGACCGGCGCAGACCAAGTCACACAACCGGCAGCCAATAGTGTGGAAGCTCCTGCATCTCACACGAGTACTGCGGCCCCCGCTGGAACCATACCAACCGCCGGAGACCCCGGCCTATGTCCCAATCGTAGTTGAGAGTACCGAAAACGCCTTTCAAGCAAACATGTGCGACCAGCTCGAGCACGAGGTCGTCGAGTGTTTTTTAAAACGGTACCATCTCTCTGTCCTGTACTCTCACCGCCTTCACCACAATAATTGACGT